GAGTGATGTCTGTAATACCACTGAGGTTGCTGTGTTCACACCTAAACCATACCAGGGTCCTCCTTCAAACATGAAGTATAATGCTCAGTGAAAATACACGGGAGCAGTGAGCAATTTAGATATAGAAAGCTCTGAAATAGTTCCGTTAAGCTAAAACTTTAAAAAAAGCAAAATTGCTTAAAGGAAATCTCATTTTTGTATAAAGTATATCTCGCGACTATACATTTTCATGAAAAGATAGTTTATGTCCTTATTAGAAATGAGACAATTCTTGGACTTAATCTGAATTAACAAATGTACATTCAGTTGAGACAAATTAAATAGAACAATAACAATACAAATACAGCTAGTACATGCCTCTTGAAGATAATGATGTCATTAGAGACTTGCTTCCAAGGTTACCTTAAAAGGTCATCCCTTTGACAGTTACATTTCTCACAACTTACTATCTTTTTAGTACCATCAAAATTGATACACAGTTCGGACTGAGACTCTCATACAGAACATTTTATGATAACCTTATAATTTCATCTGATTAGTGAGGAATCAACTTAGGTCATGAATATGAATGCAGCATTATGCATTTTGAAGTGATTAGATCTACTCTTACTCACAACATATAGTTTCACTGATTTCCCCCCTCATTTCAAGAGTATGCCCTAACCTATCTCGGCAGTCCTGGTGCATGTCTCGACAAGAGTGACAAATAATGTAAGGTTATTACATGTAGATTATGCTATTATTGCCTTAAGTTTGGGTATATTGAAGGGGCTAAAGGGTTGGAAGCCTGGGGAAAAAAAAACAGCTGCAATAGAATATCAAAAGAGCATGTAAAGGGCAATACTCACTGGCCGAGTGAGGCAGAATATTAAAATAGACTTTGCTTGGGTATAGACCAACAATTACCACTACAAATTTGTTTTTCAAATGCTTCAATTAATCAACACATCAAACATCTACATGTCAAATAATGGTGCTGAAAAAATCAATCATTTTAACATAAAATTCAAGCATTAATTGCCATGAATGCCCTCTGACGGTGACTATATTATAGGAATACTCCCATGGGAGTGGATATAGTGCATACATTGTGTGCATGAATACATCTGATGACCAGTGTTAATAATTAATATCGAACATGATCAACGTGTTCATCTATGGCACTATAGTGAACAGACATCCTACTTTTATCAAAACATGACTCATAACTCTCAACTTCACTAATTTCCTTACCGGTAATAGGAAAAATCACATGAAAATGGGCATCTCATTGGAGATATTTTTCTTCTCTCAACCAAAAGCTCCTTTCAATCTTCAACCCCCTCATAAAACTCCCATAGAAATATCGCGACAGATAGAACTTTTGATCAACTCTTGTACCTACCTTCAACATTTCATCAGAAGGGGTTTAAGTCATTTTGAAGACTGGACAGGACTAGTGGACAATTTTTAAGTGGTTGGATTAAGCAAAGGAAGCTGGAAAAATGACAATTTCCCAGCTTTGATCCATTTTGTGTGAACAGATCAACCTAAAAATGTCCTGGCGTTGCTTCGATAAATCCATCGGCTAATCCAACCTTAATCTTCTAACCTCAATATCTGGCCATCTCAACAGATGCGAGCCCCAGTTCTTGCTCCATGGAGTGAGAAAACAGGTCAGGAGAATCGAGAGTTCCGAGGGCTGTCCCATTTTCCCTGATATCAAGTCCTGCCTCTTGTCCATTAAAATAAGCAGCAAAATAAGCAGCAAACATAGGTTTTAAAAGTTTTTAGTATGTTAGGGAAAATGGGAGGGGACCTCACAAGAAACGTCACAGAATTCCCGATTTGTGTTTGATTGATTGCACCTTTAAAAATTCATAACTTTTTGCGCTCATATTTTATTTGTTTTTGCTCAAACTTTCACTGACCAGTTTCTCTCTTTTTTCTGCTTATAATAAAACCAACTTTAATATCAGGGTGCACTTCCCCTTTAAGTTGCTACTGTAGAGCAATTCCATCTCTGGTGTCCTAAACGAAATTAAATCCTGCTAGTCATGAATATTTCATGTTGAGACTTTTGTGCCCACCTCGATTGAAACAGCTCTCTGTACTTTGTAATTATGAATTACTAGAAAACAATCCTACCCGTCAAAGACAAATGGATAATGAGCACATTCTAGGTGATAAACCCTTCTCTAAAATATATCAGAATGTTATGAGAGCAAAATCATCACCATATCAGTGTTTATCTTATGTACCTTGCTGTCAATGAAAATTTGGTCACATCTTGAAATCTTAACCTTTTACTACTGAATTATCTAGTTCCCATCGGCTTTACACAGTAACCACCAAGTTTCTAGAGGCAATGAGTGAAAATACATTTCATAATATGTACATAAGTAGCTCTTAATACCCTGATTAAGACCTGACAAGGAATAACATCTCTTCATATATAGAAGCAGAACATTTTGCTCCCAAACTCCTTTCCTAGCCTGGCCTGGACTATGTTTTCTTGAAGGTGCCGTACGAAATCTCCAGGCCAGCTTTAATCATGTGTCCCACACCCATTCCCAGGAGAGAAAGTCTACAGCAACAGCTCAAGGTCCTCATCGGTCACATTCACAGTCACATAGCTGCAGGGAATATCAATCTTCCAGAAAATAATCATCTAGAATATAGTTTTGGTGAAAATTCCTGGACTGCTCGCAATTGTATTAAAGGCACACTGCCATACTTGTAGCTACTTCCCCAATCGGTGCCTGTTGGTCCCCCATGATCCTCTTTTTCTTATGTTAAATGAGAGCTGAGTTAATGAGATAGCCACCTGTCACAGTGACCTCGATGGCTCTCTGTGTGGTCTAATCCCTTCTGGCCCAGTAGTGGTGACGGTCTTTAACAAATCTTCTTGAAAATAGTTTTCTGTATGGAATGTTGAAAATATGTGTATTGATTGTATTATCATATCTTCTCGGAAATAATTTTCTTGAATGTAGTAGTTTGCATATTCTAGCTATACTTGTTTCCTACAAAATAAAATTAAGAAATACTCACCACATCATTAGGAAACTTTTTTTTTTTTTTACTTGTAAAGGTCCTGCAAATATTCATTGGAACTTCAAGAAAAATTTGTCATCATCCAGATTTACATCTTCCATAACTTTGAAATTTAGAAGACACCTAATATGAACTGACCTTCTGACAATAGATCTCTAGCCAATTTGAAGACGAGAATTAGTTCTAAATTCATTGAAAATTACTTAGGTACTTCGTAATTACAAGGATATCATGATTTCTTTCTCGAAGATGATCGTTAAACTTTATTGTGAAATTTTTCTTTGTTAATATCTATTACCTCAATTGCATGCACCTTCTTCATCCTGACGATGAACCTTTCTGATGAAGTCGAGCCAAAGAAATTGAACTTTGATAGCTAATTTGGCTAAAAACATAGTTCCTGTCATTTCCAATGAAATTATCACCAAAGTTTCCCGCCTTTTTTAAGCCGTGACTTTACAAGTCACCCGTTTTTAACTCTCCACTTAATACATCCTACTAATGCACGGCAAAAGGAGGTTAACTGTTAACATCTTGCACACCGAAAGTTGAGGTACACGTTTTGTGGTTCTTAAAATGGGTACGGCCTAAATCTTGAGAGACGTGAAGTGAAATTGATTGGAGCATGGATGTGATAAGATATGGAAGCCAGCCATTAGCTGCTGATAAGGGCTAGCTGGAATATGGTCAGGTCATGGGAGTATGGTGGGCTTACAAAGCTGTCCTTTGAAGGCATCAGGGTGTCAAAGACAGCTTGGTGGGTATCATTCCATCACTGCAACACAAGACCCAGCCTTAACCCAATGACTTCTGAATTCTCTTTCCCCCATAGGCTTAAAGATAAAGACCAGTTCTGGTCATGCGATTGCATTGTGAAAGAAACGTTGTGGAATCGATCAGAAAAAGTTGATCATCTAGCATATAAGTATTGGTGTGTACTGCAAGGTTCTGGAATCATCAAAATGTCTTTGTAAAGTTACAAGCACTGTTTACAGAAAGATGTATATGGGACTACGAACACATGCGCGACACGTGCATATTATCTATTTGGTCCAAATAGATAAACCAATTTACCAAATATATCAATTAGTAGGCGGTTTCCCGGCAAAATTGTTATCACCATGTATTAGTCAAAACATATTCTTTCACATGATTGGTAAAAAGAGTTTCCATTTTCATTTTTTGAGAGGGGCGCATTTCCAAAACTGGTCTTTACCTTTAATACATTCATCGCCTGGTTCCCGCAGTCAATGGGTTTAAGGTGCTACTCCATTAGCATGAGCAAGCTTGAGCTTGAGATGAGTCGTCACTTCTTTAGAAAACAGTCCAAACCTGAAGTTTCTCTAATAGCACATGTCGAGCAAACCAATGCTTGCTCAAGGAATCAGATTGAGCTACAGAGCATGAGATTTCCAGTCATAGTCCAAGCTCATCTGAACCAGTGAAGATCATTAGCTAACTATAATTATGAAATCCACCCCCTGAATATAATGTGGAAATCCTCATTGATTTTGTTTTCGTGCTAACAAGCCTTCAGCATCAGTTCTATAGTATCCTACAACTTTTTCTATATTAATTTCGGGAAATCTATTCTATATTTGGAAATGCTATCAGTGACATATGACCCACTCATAACCCTGCCAGATTGAGGAAGAAAGCTTGAAGAGGCTTGCAGCATGGCAAGTGAAAGCTTACCAAAATAGGTAAGTTTCTACTGATTGTGAAGAAAACACTTATTATCAAGTTACATTTACTCACTAGAACCTTTCCAGTGAACCCTCATTTATTGACCCATGTGATCTTACATTTACTCTGTTGACATCTACTATAGGTCTGAAGAAATTATGTTAGCATACCCTAGCGCAGTTGTCATTGAAGCATGTATTGTAGAACCTACAATAAAACAGACCATGGAATGCAAATTACGTTGGGACTGTAGAGATGTCCCCATCTATCTGACTTACCTTCCAACATGGTAGGTGGCGATGAGAGAATTACCAAATCGCTGCATACCAAAGTAGTTGATGAAACCAGCATCTCTCAGAGACGACATTGCATGGTTGATCTGCTCCTTACTCCCCTTCATCATCCTGCAATTAAAATAAACATCATTCACGGGTTAGGAAGTTTTGCAACATTTACTCTGGCAACATCTGCCATGGGAATATTTTCAGTAGAGATATACTGGAAGGGTAAGGGTTATAATAGGGTTTTAGGTTAGATTTAGGGTTGGGGTCAGTGTTTGCTCTAGAATGAATTTAGGAATTTGAGTGTCAGAAATTGAAAATGAAGCAATTGTTGCCAGATACATCATATTACGTGCCCTTTCATGGAATTTTATTTTGACTTGTCATTTATTCAGATATTCCCCTGACTTAATTTCAAAGACAACAACTTTTCTCTGTTCTTTGTATATCTGTGTTCTTCTCATTCTGTCTGTCCCTGTCTTGTCCCCCCCCCCTCTCTCAACCTCTCCCACTCTCTCTCTCTCTTCTTGTGCCAGCTGATTATCTTCTGTCTCAGCCTTGTCCTTCTGTCACTCTTTCTATCTCAGTATTTCTTTCTTTCTCTGCCTATCTCTTATTTATATGTTGCTTTCTCTCTGTTTCCATCCCTGCCCCTTACTGTCTGTCTCTGTCTCTCTCTTTCCCTTATCCCCCTTCTCTCTCTTTTTCGCTCCCTCTCTCTTCCTTCACCTGCTCTTATTAGTGTGTGTTTCATTCTCCCCCTATGTCTGTCTGTCGGTCTGCCTGGCTCTGTCTGTCTGTCTCTCTCTCTCTCTCTCTGCCTCTCTCTCTCTCTCTCTCTGCCTATCTCTAACTCCCTCCATCTCTCTCTCTAGTCTCTCTCTTTCCCCTGTCCACTATATGTCAAGTCTAGTTCCATAGTTATATATGACAGCTAGGAAGGAACCTCTGTATGAGTGAGACATCCTGTGTGGCTCTTTATTTTAGGGGTTATCCCTCTCATCATCACACAGCGAGACATAGAACACCCAAAACCTATGTACTCATTTGGTAATCACGTCAGTAACATTAACATTGATGCTATATACTGTCATAACAGGACATCTCCATTTCATATGCAAGTCTGTTAATGTCATTAATATCAAATAAAAAGGGAAAACACATTATTATTTGATGGAATGAGTTCAATTTCACAAAAAGTTGTGACAAGGAAAATGCAGGCTGTATTGGAATCAATATCGTGATATAGAGCTGCACATTCAATACAAATTTTGTTTTCTTATGATAAACAAAACGTTATTGTTACAACACGCCAAAATATATGCTAATAGTACCTTAAAAAACGTATCTGATAGAAATAAAACATTCATGTTAAATAACAATTGTAATGGACAATTTTTTGTCACTGTATTTGGATTGGATAGGACTTTCTTTCCTTTCCAGCAGTATTGTTAAGTTGAAAAGGACAATACTTGATGAAAAGAAAAGATAGTTACTGTCTATACATGTAATCATGACTAAAGTATGACTAGCATGACTGTAGTATGACAAGTAATACTTTGGATTTGCCTTTAAATCTACTGATGTAAACTTCACTACTTTCATTCATTTAGGTAATACATTTTCATGGCACCTAGATTATATCTTAATTTGAAAAGATGCATAGCCTTCTACCATGATCTCCAAATTACAAGAAGTCACATATCTATTCTTTTGACTTGTAATTTAAGCTATTTTTTCCTCTTTTTCTGTTTCCCAGAGGGCAGGAAGTTCAAGGTACTTTAAAAGCTCTATTTTTTCTCCTATTTACATCAAAATGATGCTACTTTTACCCTAAATGACAACAGTTGCAGACAGACAAGCCAGATTTTTATTTCCAAAGCAGAACAAAATTAACCCACATTAGTCAACATTGATTTTAAGGCAGTGACTAAAAGGTTACATTAAGACCATTAAAACCTGACATCTTCTTCTATTGTTATTTTTGAATACCTAGCAGCTTTTCGGATGAGATGACTCGTCTCAAAGCAAAAGGAGCCATACTCAGAGGTATCATATTTCAACCGTAGGAAACCTATAATGTTGCATGATTAGGGAGGCAATGTTATAACTCGTGTCTTTCAAGCTAAAGATTTGTTGGTATCATCAAACAAATCTCAGAAGATGGTTCTGTCTACATCTGGTTTTGAATATGGAATGAATACCATCCTCTCCAAGTACTAAAAGGAAGTAAGGAGGTATAGTTTCTGAGGCAAATAAAAAAAAAGGCAATTTGATAAAAATGACTTATATAACTAATCTCTATGGAACTAAATGAAATAGAATTCATCTAAATGTTCAAGCTTAAATATAGCTACAACTCAAGAAGATGGAATTTCTCTTGACAATAATTGTCTGGAAGAATTATCAAAGTGACTGATGGAACAGGGAGGACGGGAAGACGGGGAGAGAGAGAGAGAGAGAGAGAGAGAGAGAGAGAGAGAGAGAGAGAGAGAAACATCAAGCATAGATGAGATTTTTTTTAAAGATGACATTGGTTTTTACTTGTTATATTAGTAGTCAATCTAGGAATGGGCAAAGGTGATAAACACAGAGTTCACAAGTTATAGCAGACAGAAAATCTCTTACAACTTTAACCAGAAGAGTAGCTTTTTCTGGACTGAAACTGTCAGGTTTTGAAATCAGAATTTTGTTTTTTACTGTGATTTCAATGGTTTAACAAAGTTCAAGTCAGTGGATCATTTACATTGAACTGACTGAAACTGAAATACATATCTGCCTAAGAAGACAGTACAGCTTTAAATTCAATGGGTGAATATGATAGAAATCCTTACCGGTAACCCTTGTGCCACACAAGTAATCTCTCTGTGCCATATTGTATTTATCATGGGATAGATACCAAAGGCTTCAAGATTATTTAATGGTTTCCAGTGCAGGATTGATCTATACCTGGGTTAGAAGGGTTTTCATGAAGCTAAAAGAAACCAGAAATGTGTAATTTTTCAAAGACATCATTTTTCACGAAGAACTCCTTCCATCAATTGATGCCTACTGTTTTTAGCAAATAAGTGATTGTGCAGGGAGGCAAAGAGAGCAACCAAAGTGTTAAGCAATTGTCAAGGAAGGTTAACGCCAGAGTGTTAAATCAATGAAATCATAGCATTTATCCCACTTAATGGAAATGAAAGTACTCAACACATTCCATTAACCTATAAAGTACCAAGATATTAAATTTCCAGGGACTACATGGACTTGTCTATAGTTTTTCAAAAACAAAATGTTCACATCTTGCCATTTCTAGGTTTCTTGGATTTCTTGAATCCCAATAGTTTCCAGTGACTACTAGTTCTTGTCAGAAACGATTCTAAAACAGGAATGTACATACTAATCCATTTTCTAGTTTATTACATTCCTTGAGTGTCAAGATATTGAGTTTCTGTATATTACCTGTACTTCTCTGTATTCCCCCCTCCCATATACAAATCTCACTTTTTCTTGGGTTTCTTTAATTCCTTTAGTACAACTATAGTACATTTGAAGGACTTCTTATAACAGAATTGGTTCCAAACTAGTTTCAAAAACTATTCTAAGATTATTTTTTAAAGTCTTTGTAACATCTTGTTATTTCTCAGCTTTCTTGAATTCCTTTAATGAAATTCAGAAGTACATACATAAGGCCTCTATTTCATCATGAGCTTTGTAGGACTTGTTTCAGAGATATGAGAAAGATCTTGTCTCATTATCACACAGGATATCTAACGGCAGATTGTTTACATGACCTAGCTCCAATTAGGACTGCTAGACACTGCAGCCATGGCCCTCAACTCAACTTCTATCATTTATATTCTCATCCTTATGTTGCATGCATCTCTTTCTTTCTTCATTTGATTTTGAAATGATTGCATGTTTGAAACTTATTTGTGTTTATTCTATAATCATAATATATCTCACAGCTTTTTAATTTAAATTACTGAATAACCTAATATGCTCAGAACTTACTTCTATGAACTAATTGACAAAGAATTGTATAATTCTATTTCCTCTTTTTTTTTTAAACAGAATTTTGGAACACTGGCCCACCAATAAGACCTGCCTTTCCATAATACATGCACAAAATTGTATTCATTAATTTCTCACAGGAAAACAGACCCACTGAATGAAAAATTACTACATTGAAATTAAGAGTTTCTTTATTATAATTAATGTAAATCACTAAACGATTCAGAACGGTCAAGTTTTTTCAAAGGACTAGATATGTATTTTACCCTTTGTGCAGTAAACTTTGTTCTACAGAACTAATAACAAGCAATTCACTACTTCCCTCCAAACTCACTGCCAATTAGAAATAGATAATAATTTGATTGACGAGCAAGTTCTCTACCCTGCTAAAAATAGGGGAGCCCCAGTCTGGCTTTTAATAGAGGCATTGTCTTTAGAATGCTTCGTTAATAATGACTGATGTAGCAGATTCCATGTAACAATTAACAGCATGCAACAGTGGAACTTATTAGAGTGTCTGCATGCAGCCTCATTCTCTATAGCAAGAATCCATTATGATTCATGTTTCAAACTTGACTTTGATAACAGAGGTACAGGGAAAGTTCTAGAAGCATTCAAAATGAGTACAAATTTGGATCATGCAGTATGTATTTTTCTTCAACGATTTACATTTATCCTTAAAACATCCCTCATGCCTACATTTCATGCAAAAAAAAAATGTGTCTTAGAATTAGTTTCTTTTTCTTAAATACATGCATAATTGCTTGGCTGCTTTCATGAAGTAATCAATTCTTGTGCCCAATACCATCAAAGCAACATTGAAGAGAAATCCTTTTCAAGTCTTTTCACTATAGCAGAAAACCTCAACTTTGTACTCTTTCTTTAATATTTGACTTCTAAAAACATTTGTTTTGAAATTCGTTGCAAAAATATGTATGCCTGTCTGCACTAGTTTGGCCAGGAGGGATTAGACCTCCCTGCATGGTCACTGACAGATGGTTATTTCATCTAATCAGCTCTCAATTAACATAAGAAAAAAAGGGATTATGGGGGACCAATGGGTACCGCTTAGGTATTGTTCGCTATAGAGAGAGCGCAAGTAGCTACAATTAGTGCAGTCCCGCTTAAATGACATCCTCTTTCACATTATGATACAATTTAAGGTGAAATTTTGCCATCAAATTTTGGGGGCTCCCAACACTTTAGAGGGGCTTTAAGTTTGATGTTGATGAGCGCAGAGATACACTCACAAACATCACTGTAGGGACATTCTTAACGGACTATTAACTTTGCTGGAAATGAATCCAGGAAATTACATCTTGTGGACACAGGAAATACCTTGCCTATGAGAAGGGGAATAGGTGGAGGGGGAGGGGGGCTTCTATGTGCTCATACCTCGTAATCTTATGTCTCGTCTAATTTACTTATTATATAATGCAAGGCTCTACAATAACTTTTTTTCATGAGGGGGTCTTGATTTAGGGTCTGTATCCATGAGCCCTCAGTCAAAATTGTGAAATTATGGGGTTCTGGAATTTGACTTACTATGTAATCGATAAAGCATTTAATTTTGTCAGTCAATGGGAATATGCCATTTAAAAAATTAAAAAATGAACTAACTAAACGACATGAATCATTTTGAGGCAGTTGCTGTAGTCTCCCAAAGGGATACTATGTTCATTTTGGGAGATATTCATCATCATTATATTCTGAATATAAAATCTGTTTTTTTTCTCCCCCTTTTGATGTGTCATGTTTCACATTTCAATTTGATAATACCTTTTGATCAAATTAGCCCTTTAGGAATATTTACTTTTCTTATGCAGGTATGCATTTAAAACCTGAAGTCACACTGAGCAACCGACTCCAAACAGACTACAACTGATTCTTGGTCAAGAAAAGTTAATGTAGTTTTTTTGTTTTTTGTTTGTTTGGGGGATCTGTTGTCAGACAGCTTGGTGTCGGTCTTGTAATTTTGACTACGGTATTATTGATCTCTCTTTAATAAATGAGTCAGTGCATGACTTACAAACATTAGAGGTATTTGACACACACCCATTGAAAATGGATACTTCGCTTGTACATCTGTTTAATTTCACCATTTTGAGCATCTTTAATATTTCACTTCCTTTAACAACGAACACGAATCTGAAATGCCTCTCATTCAAAGCTAGGATTCATACTGTGTCCAGAATATGACCAATAATTCTGGGGCCCCGGCCATCCATGTGTCCAAGATACGAGCATGTCTGTCTGGAAAAGTCATTGAAATATTGCCGTCTTCAATTCCTTACTGGAGTCACCTTCGTTTCAAGTTTTGAAAGGATAAAGAAAGCTTCCTTGAAGGATCTTCACTGTATTAAAGCCTGCACAAGGCCTGCCCAATACAGCAACAATTGACAGATTCCATTCCATCAGGAAGGAAGGAACATCAACAGAAGTTTGTGACCTAAACATTTGCTTTTTGTGATATTTGCTTGGGGCTTTGAATTTTCAAAGACCTAAAGGATAAGGGATGCAGTTGGGTGTTATGCTAGGCAAATGGTTAGGGTTGGGGATGGAGATCGGGGTAGGGTTAGTGTAGAGTTTGGTCCAGGGTTGAAGTTAGGAATGTGGTTAGTGTGGGATATTGACAGCAGAGCAATTGTCACCAAAGTATGTGTCATAGAACCATAAAGAAAATGCATCTGTCAAACTTGTCTATTTATTTATTTATTTATTTATTTATTATAGTTTTATTTTAACAGGGTGGTCTCATTCAAGTTCATTTCTGAGCCTGCTCTCCCAGAGAGCCCTGTATTCACATAAAAAACATGTACAATAATAACATGAATTCAAAACATACATACAAAGGTAAAATATACATGGTATATACAATAATTAAACATGGGTAACGAAAAACACGCATTAACAATAAATTATAAGGAAAAAAATACAACTATCAAATTGAAAAAACTAGATGAATGAAATGTAATAAATAAATAAAGGTCAAATTAACGTGAAAATATGTTTACAAGGGAAACTGAAAGGTTTTGACATTCTTTTTAAAACTTTGCAGCGACTTACAATTTTTAATATGATAGGGTAATTTATTGTATATTTTAGCTCCTGAAACCGCTAAGGTTTTCGTTTTAAAATTTGTTTTACACTTTAGAATGAATAATGGACTGTTTAAAGCATAACGAGTAGAATATAATATCGGTCTTTTACTTATACATGGATTAAGATATGGTGGTGATAGGTCGTTTATGATTTTAAAAATCAAGATGCATTTCTGATATTTAATTCTTTCCTCTAATGACCGCCATTTCAATTTACTCATTAAAACATTTTGGGGTGTAAAATATTCGGCACGAAGAACTAATCGTGCATATCTATTTTGTAATTTTTGCAACTTTGTTAGATTTTGTTTCGAAGTATTTCCCCATACTGAATTACAGTAGTTTAAATGCGGTAGGATAAGAGAATAGTATAATGTAATAAGATTCTTACGGGAAATATAATTGCGTATACGTCTAATGCAGGCAATCGTACCCGATACTTTCTTAACAACTTCTTTTACATGTAACGACCATGTTAAGCTTTTGTCTAGTGTTACACCTAGATATTTCATACTTTCGACTGAGTCGAGTACATTGTCACTGTAACGAATACAAATATTATTATTTTGAATTTTTCTTTTGGAACCAAATAGTATTGTTTTGGTTTTATTTGCATTTAAAAACAGTTACTCAAAGATTAACAAAAAAAATATTGTTAAAACAGTCAAATTCTTAGCTTATATGAAATGTGATATACAGCCATGATAACTCAGTGAACAACTTGGCTTTCATCATCAGGAACTTACCTTAATATGATAACAAAATGGTTGCCAGACAATTCTCCTAGGTTGAGAGGCTTGTGGACATATCTAAAAATAGAAATACATAACTATGTTTGAATGTTCAGCAAGGCCAATAATACATTTCTAAATATATGATACATGGTAAAATGCCCCAAAGTTACATGGAATACAATCAAATCAATAATTGTAGTACGTATGAGCTCTACATGTATTTGCTGATCATGAAGCACTTTAAAAAGACAGACTGATGAAAGGCGCTGCAAAAAGGGCTAGATGAAAGACAATTTCTTTGTTTCACTCCACAGAATCTTATTACGGATATAAATAATCAAATAACCTATATAAAAATGTACATGTAGTAAAATTCAAGCACCATTTCCATTCAAATTTGTTTAAACAAATGTAAATTATTTCAAATCATGTCTTTAGAAAAATGAACATTTATCTAAGTTTTATAGTTATTTGTTTACTCTCATAAAAAGATAACCATGATAAAAGAAATGAAATACAAAGTTATAAACACACACACATAATATATACTTATACGTGAACATAAGTGAAGAAAGAAAAGGGAAAAGCAAATGAAGATTGGGGGAGCCAGCAGGGACCACAAACACCTGTCAATGGCTAGCTCCTTGGTTAACTTATTTACAGTAACGCAAAATAAAAAAAATTCTCCTTTCAATGTTCTCTGAATATCTGTACAATACATGCATAATGTTAAATATTGTTTATTTGATGAACATTCCATGAATTTCTTTTCTCTTTTAATATCCCTTTGAGTGATCTTGTGAATAATAATTCTTTCAACTGACAAGATTTTGTTTAAGTTTTACATAAAGTGAAACACTGAAGATATTTGTATTGCTTCTTGCTGAAATTTTCTGATTAAATTTTTATAAAAATCATCAGAATAAACTCCCATATATCACCTGAAATTGCCTAATCGAATGCATCTCAAGACCTTGTTAAGCTGTGCCAGTCTCAAACCATCAATTCTAGAGATAGACAAATAAAGAAAAGACAGACAATATTTATTATTAAAATGAGTGTTATTGAGAGCTGAAATATATTCATGGACAATAAATAACATACAGGAAAGGCAATAAAATGTCAAATTTGTGTTGTTTTTACAATGAACATTACTGAAATATTTCCAAAGCTATATAGCATATTAGCATAGCACCTTGGTAAATGAGGTTTAATGTTCATTACCTGTATATTACTCTTTTGCATGAATACTAAAGACAGAAGAAAGAAGCATTGTTAAAATGTAAACTGACCAAAAATGTGTGTAAATCTGTCCATAGTAAACAATAGAAAAAATATTACCACGCCTTTTTATCGTTTCTCAACTGAAAAATATGTCACATTCAAAATGTAAAACAATAACAAAAGTTTCTCCAACTCAGATATATGGCCATTTATAAGGGATATTGAACACATGAAATACTGTCACGAATTAAGGAGTGCGACATATTCATCATGAAGAAAAAACACACATCTTGTTTCAACACTTAGTACAAGTAAGCAATCAAATAGATAAAACACACCATAATGGTTGGTATTGGGGGAAAACTCTATCATTTAAGTGATGGATAAGTGATGATACATCTAGCATGCAAAGGAGCACATCTAAATGTCTCTGATGAAAAACAGATTTATTGAGAATTATGGAGTAAATGGAAGCAGCGTTTACCAGAGGAAACGCTCTGATCTATTTTGGTCTGGTGAGCCAATGTATAAAGATCCTGAGAGATATGTTTATAAGGTATGAATATGTTGCCTTTCTGATTGCTGCTCTGATAAGAGAGTTCATAGGGTCCTTCTTCATGAGCCTGAGCATAGACTGATCAGTGCTTCTCAAGAAATTAGACCTAGTTGAAATTCCAAAAGACAGCATTATCCCTGGTCATGAAATCACTTTTGGATAAACTTTTACAAATATCATGAAGGTACTATATGAGCTAAAGGTATATTTAAACATTCAAAATTCACAGTAGCAGTATGATAAATCCAAAATTTAACAAACAACACTACAACACATTTATCAACAAAACCTACATTTTAAAAATGCATTTAAAATGTAAATATATATCAAATATTACACATTTCATATTATATGGAGAAAATATATTTATGAGTAACAAAACGTACTGCCTGCACACGATATGATGACTTATTGTATAGCACATGTAGGTGATTATGGTAATAATCTTTCTTGGTCTGGAAATTAAGTTATTTTCTCTGTATATGTTTAGTATTCTTAGCACAAGCCAGTACCCATAGTTCACTTTGCTATATTTCAGATCCATAAACAATCCATTCAACCACAAGGCTGAAATATCTGATTTAATAATGATGATGATTATAATATCAATATTGACTTTTTATATAGTACTCATACACTATGACATTCATGGCGCTTAAGTAACTATTGCTCAATCAAATCAAGTACCCCATCTAAACCTGGGTGGAGAGTGGCAACTGTAGATTAACATCTTGCCAAAGACAGGAGTTCCCAGGCAAGGAACCAAACTATGTACTTTGTGACCTTTAGTCAGAGACTTATCCACTAGACTACAATACCTCTAACTTTACAACTTGGCAAACTTTTATAAAAACTGGTAGAGCCTGGTAATATTCAGAGTGCCTTGGGCATCTTGCATGGTGGACATGTGCGCTATATAAATATTATTATTATTATTATACAGTTAAATATGTCTATAAAGGGCATACAAGGGACACAGGAAGGCTAGCCACTGCAGATAGTTGACCTTTCCAGACACGTTCTACAACACTTTTCATTCTAGAGGAAACCATTATAGGTGACGCACACTATAGACAGGTGGCCGCTAAAACAGATATTATTATATCGGCATATTTCTGCTGGGGAAGTTCTGAAATAAGAAACCTTAGGAGAGCAAATTTAGGGCCTTTCACCCATCGCCTTTCAAATAGAACATCATCTTCTTCATCATCTTCATCACCTGTATATGTCCTTAAAACTGATACATTAATATGAGGAAATGTGTCAATCATCGAATACCCCCAGTGACATTTCTGAAGCATAGGACAGAAACATGAGTGGACCTTCAGGGGCAAAGTGCCAAATTTCTGGCCTTAACATTGCTTTCTTTCCATTGTTCCAGCATTATGAGCAATCCTCCACTAATCCATTTATAGAATCAAGGAAATCATTGACTGTGCATGCTCCTCTTCTCTTTCATCTGAAAGCTTTGCTGTTTGTCAAGACTAAGGTTCAGGGTTTGCCTGGGTTAATGCAGGGCTAGGAAACTTTTGTGAATTGGAGCCGACAGTCTTGTCACGGCATGAAATATTCGCAAATTGCCAATCATGTCCAAGTTTAATTTTCGTCAGAGAGTGCAATCCTGGCCGGGGCTTATTCAAAGACTAATAATAACACACTTTGATGTTTACCTCCAGGCCAGTTTTGTTATTGCAGGATTTTTTATGAATAAAATCTTGTGGCAATATAAGAAACATAGTTTCATTAAATTTTGACATTTGTCAACATTATCGTGCCTAGATATATATATATATATATATATAATTATAAACATTATGTATCTGTACGAGTCAATTTACTTGTGCAGTGTACAGTGTTGTATGGGCATTCAATGCATAGGAGCACCAAAAACTTTTGCAGCATTAAACTTTTGTGAATATGGACTCAAAAATGTTTTTTATTTTTTACAATGCAGGGTCTTGAAATGCCTGTTACTAATGACGTATTGTCATTTCTGTATGTAATGAGGCATCAAAACAAATTGGTCAGACTAAATATTGGAGTTTACATCAGTTGTAGATCTACAATGAAAATAAAAGCCTTACACACACATTCACACTCCCTCCCTCCCTCCCTACACACACACACACACACACACCCGCAACCCACTCACACACAGAGGTTTCAAATTTTCAATTTTGAAGGTCTTATCACTTAGCTCATGACTAATCATAGATATAATAAGTCCAGCATCTAGGGCATGAAGGCCAAATACTAGACATAATTCAGCACAAGTTCAATAGCCACTTAGACATTCAATCAAATTACAACCTTCCCCTTCGTTTGTAATATTTACCTCAGATTATCAAGTATCATGAATAGCCTGTCCATCGGTTAGATGCGTAGAACTGTACTTAACACCTACATTTTTACATGTTTTATTGAAACCGACAAAACAAGAACTAATACCAGTAATTGATTACAGTTCTAATCTAAAGCAAATTAACAAATCATATTAATTCTATATCTAGTAGAAAGTCAAACTTTCATAACAGTACAGGGTAAAAATCTAGAATTAAACCCTAAAAGTTATCTGCATGGTAGAACATTTATTGAATCACAGAAAAATGATTTGATTGAAATCTGTCATTAATATAAATAAATCAGAAAATGATTCTAGGTATGTAAATGTCCCATATAATCATTAAAATTGTGTATTGCAAACAACCCATATTTCATACTCCTAAATTTAAAAAAAAAGTTTGTGCATAAATTGTCTATTTTTGAAAATATAAAAATCATCAAGATTTCAATTTATTTAGAAAATATTTGTGGCAGTAATTGTCAAAATTTGCCTTGAAAGATATTAACTGTTGTGTATGTTTTGTTTAACAAAATTTGGTTATTCTTCTATACATATATGACAAATAAAAATGACACTTCTACATGTATATTTTTGGATGTTGATCAAGTCAATGACACAAATGTCCCGATGATCTTGAATTAAAAGCGAACCAAGACGATGCTTTGATGCAAAGAGACAGCACTAAGACCTTGAGTCTTGCTTTATACTTGTGCCTCAAAACCTGTCTCAACCATATCCTTACATATTCTCAAAGATTTATCAAGGAGCAGAACAGAGGGCACTGATTGACTTACGTAGGCAAATTATATAAGAGAATTTTTTCAAGCCTTTTAAAGCTAAAAATAACCCATGTTCCCATGACATTACACTTCCTCTTTAGGGGCTGCTGACTCCAGGGAAGAGGAGCTAGGATATGGGTAAGGAAAACTCGGCCCCCTTCCTCTCGCCTCTCTCTACCATATACAGATGACTGTCAAGATTGTTTATAAATAACAATCATTTTGTTTAAATTCATTTTTATAAAGTAAGTTTACAAGAAGCAAAAGTAAAAGCCCTTTTATTAATATATTTGTGTTAAATATGTATTTAATATTTTCATATCATTGATTGGATATAAAGCTTGAAAGTTTGAATTAAGTATAATATCACATTTTAGAATAAAGTTTGGTAAACCCATCCTTATGGATTAGGCAGGAGCACATCTTCATTAAGACAAGATGCAGTCAACGTCATATACACACACACACAGGAACCCACCCACACACACGCACAAAACGGTGACAAAATAATATGCTTTAAAGCGCAGAGCACTTCACACTTCTGTATCTTACACCATGCACACAGACAAATAAGGATTCTCAAGTTTCTTAAGATACTTCAGACACTTTTTTTAATCACCTTGCCATTAATTGTATACAGTTTAATTTTTTATTTTGCCGCAGCTGGTTTTTCAGGTGTTTTTTGTTGTTAATGTTAACACATCCTGTCTGAAAAAAGATTACATGTAGGGTGTGATTGAAGCAAACTTGATGTTAGTTCTTGTGATTGAGTAGTATTTTCTCTGGATCCAATTGACTTGGAAATGCCGCTGAAAGTGAGTTTGATTTGGCAGGATATTGGAGTAAAGCGGGTTTTATGTCCTAAGAGAATTGTGTTTCAACTGCCAATTTGCGATCTGGAAAATCTAGGTGACTTTGACCCAAAATGCTTGACTAAAAGTAAAAAATGCAATATTTTTCCTTTTAGCTCAGTATATAACATATATTTGGCAAGAGTGACATTCTGCATATTCATTTCTAGTCATTTTAGTAGAAACAGAGGCGGAACATATATGTTCTAGAACAAAACTGTAAACAGAAATACATGCTGAAATTCTGCTTAAACTGCCATCATACCATGATATCACATCTCTGGGTACTTTCTAAGAGCTTTGGAAATCATTACCCCGGTTTTTAGCTCTGGCAATCATTATCAGCAAACAAACAAAATTCAAAGAACCCACTAACTACATCTGGGATGAGTGAGGCATATGTTGATTAATGTCTTACAAGAGAAAAAGTCAGTGAAGTACTTGAATCCATTACCTTGTGATCCACAGTATTTTGAACTATCCACCAGATCACAACACCTCAAGGGCTCATATGCATTAAACATTTGAAAAGACAAAGAGCATATTACTATTCTGAGAGAAAAGATGACCCAAATCAATGAAAACAGATCAAAACTTTTTAGCCCGAGATAATCACCTTTGAATAATAACAAAAGCCTACTCTAGGTACGCACACACAGACACACACACACACACACACCCACCCACACAAAAAAAACGTCAACCAAATGTAAATAAAAAATTAGATCAATAGGAGCAGATGAAAAAGAATAACAGTCACCCATCTCTTGATAATGTAAGCAGAATTACATATACTCATCACTTTATAAACAGTTCCAAAGGCTGACCTACTCTAATTGTTTTTGAATTCAGAAGGGATGAAATTATTTGGAAGAATTGAAGTCACTGCATCAGATTATCAAACCTAACAATGAATTTCTGCTCTCAAGGGCTTTCTGCAAAAATGGAAAACCTTCATTGAACCATTATCTCTCAAAAAGATGACTTATTGTGACTAAGAATACAAAATTATTCTGTAATTTACATCTTAACCATTCTACCAAATTGAGAAAGACAACCGGTGTTTGCATTTGTAATTACTCACCATGAGTAGGGAGGGCACAGAGTAAAGCGAGGAAGCTTTGACAGTATTAAAGAGTTCAATTGTATTATCCAGGGGAGAAAAGGCTATATCTGTGTTGATAGATATGCTTTGTCATTTTCTTTTGGGGCGGGGAAGATGGGATTTAAAATAAACTATTTTTGTTTGTTTAAAAGAGGAATCACAATCAAAGGGGCAAAAATCGTCATAGCGCAATCATATAAAAAGTAGAATTGTCACAAATTTTGAATAAACAGTGTGAAAGTTATTGTTTGTCCAATTTTCCTCACAATTCTACTCTTGACATTAAGAGCGATGTGAATCTTATGTATTGAAAACGCAGTGATGTATTCATGTATAAATGATTGTCCACATATTCTTCAAAAACATTGAGAAATCAAGAAATGAAACTAAAGTTCACATCATTCTATTTATATGAAATATTTGTATAAGTGTCTAGAAACATTATCAAAGTTCACACATTACATATAAAGCAAATAAAATCTTTTCTACTTTCGTTTGAGTGGTATCTTCATGTATACACATTTTTGTTCAAAATTTTAGATGTGTAGTTTCCATATATAAGAAGCAAACAACTCATAACATCAAGGTCCCTTTAACAGGATCCCGGGGAACTTGCATTATTGCATTTTATGAACTATACAAGAAAAAGTACAAATGCAGCAGCCTTAATCCAGATGACGATCTTCCTTCCACCTACCCCAGAGTAAAACCAAGCCTCTGCATGCAGTTCCTAGCTCTCCCTGCAATGTCATTTGCATAATGCATGATGTGTCATACTTGATTCTACAACTAGCCAGGGTTTGCGAGCAGAGCACTGCAGCGGAGCGCAGGAGAGTGTGAGCAAGGAACGGGCAGGAAGCTTCTATCTGGCATGACTTCGAGTCATTGAATCCCTTCCCTCTATCCTCGCCACACAAAGCTCTGAGCGCACTTATACAGAGTAACCCTATTGGCAAGACTCGCAAACAAGCGATCAACTTACTCCAGACCTTCTACTGTGGTCTAAACCTCTAGTGATCCCTTGCTGTAGGTCTGACCTAACTCGCATGTTACGTTGTGCCCATTGCTGTGGTCTTTGGATAAGCCTGGTGTATTGAACTCCTGGCAATCATATCATGTTTAATTGGTGAATTGGAAGCCAGTGAGAGTAAACATACCTGTGGATAAAACAATTACATTTGCTTTCATTGGAAATCTTAATCAAACAAGGTAAGGATGCTTCATTTTCTATTCTGATGTATCTGATCTTAGGGGATATTTAAAAGTTTATTCTGAATGCTTCAAGTCCTTCAAATCTACAAGCAACAAACTATTGTAGCTTTTTTAAAATTTATTTGGTTCAGTGGTAAAACACAGCCAGTAGTTAAGTAAACCATCAAACTTTACTTTAAAATTATCAATGTTTTTATTTTTTACAACAGATTTTTGTAAACAAGATCATATTGATAATTTAATGTGAATATAACCCAGTTCTTTGACAATGTATAGAAAGTAGAGATTAACATGACCAAGTATGAAGTAAACTACTACTTCTACAGATACGTTTTTAACTAAAGGGATAATGTATGGGCTCTCTCTTTCTCTTCAGTAGTTTTTAGTCCCTTAGTTTCAAACTCTGGGTGGATATTCCAATTTTGTTTTTAATGACAAGCAATTATTTCTTAACTGACAACGACATGAACCACACATCATACACATATATATGTCATTAACTACATAGGATAAGCCAAAGAAATAGGTACTTGAAATAACGAAGGAAGTGCTTAATTTCATATCAGTATTCTTCATGCGAGTACTTTAATTTGCATACTTGTTCTACGGGTAAATCCCCCATTGTAACTGCCTTCCTTCAACTTGGTACCAAAAATATCTCTTCAGGATATGGGTGGGATTACAAAAAGTGATGCTTTCCAGAAAACCCTACACACGTGCCTGATCTTGTGTCAGATAAGTTCATTGTGAACCTTAGCAGTGATGAGAGGCTTCTTTGGATTAGGTTATTAGCAGGATCCTGTTCTCCGCCAAAAAATCTTCCAATAAAATTAATGAGTATTTGAAAGAGGAGTTATCATTATGTGCGACAACATAAAGAGGAAAGGATACAGTTTAAAAATTACAATTTCACCCTCATAGTACTAGATTAACTCATGAAGTAAATTCTCCACTAAGTATAACTTTTCATTTATACAAGACAAAGCTTTGTGAACTTACTGACGCAAAAGAAACTTTCATGATTGAGTTAATGTTGCTTGAGAAAAGAATAAAAAAATAAAGAAGAAGAATAGTCTGATTTTGAGGCGAATTCAGACATGCAATAAGAAAATCAAATGAATTTTAGAGATGACAGTCCACAAAAAGATGGGAATCTGAAAATTGGCAAATTGGTATATTTACCTACATAAACAACTCTATAAAGAATAGTTATAATCACTAATGGTTCATTAAAAATTAATCACGATTGCTCACGTCTCACAAAGTCATCACTCTGAAGTTTGTATCCCATTTAAAATCAAGCTGTAAAAATAAAGAGGAGCCTCAATTAATCTTACATGTTCTAACTTTGACTCTGTTCTGATCTACTATAGATAGATACATTTCACATATGATGTAATTCATTTTGTAATTCTTTATCATTTGTGTAATATTACACTGTATTTGTTAAGCAACATACATACCGGTAATACAATTAGTTGATGTGTCTTATATAACTGAGGTTGGAATTAGCACTTGTGTTATTTTCTGGTCCCATTTTACCACCTGATGTTCACGATGTCATATTATCATCATTTTGTTTGTATCCAAACATGTAGAGAATTATGTAAGGCTTGTAATCTATGCAACTTCACATGGTCAAACCTTGATATTCTTCAGGAAGGGTCCCCAGCTTATTATTCATAGAACTGCAAGTGTTAATCCACATGGTACAAACCATGACCATACATATCAGATCATTAGCTCTAAAAGCCCCTTAGGTTCCAGCAGTTAAGGGCAAAAGGAAGTTATGCAATATTTCTTTCGATGAGAAGAAGGGTTCTTACATAAGTCTTGGAGAGGTGATCTGAACAGCTGTTTATGAGGTAGAATTGCATCTGAGCACATGCTGAAAGCGTATGCCATCCAGGGTCTCATTAGGTTTTATGGTCTCGAAAGGGAACTGTTCCACATGTATGCTCAGAATTAATCAGTCACATTTGTTAAGATGTGTTCTGTAACCTTTTATTATAAAAATGTTGAGTATTTTTTTTCTTTTGTTACTGTACTCCTAAAATGATGCATTGTTTAAATAATATCCTCTTTCAGCGTATGAGAGATAACACTGTTTTACTACATTTATATATAAAGACTTAACATGTACATTTACTAAAGAAATACTTGATTTCATAACAGGAATATCAAAACAATTTAGATTACCAAAAGCATATATCTCAGAATGATTACCAGTACAATAACTTTACCAGATAACCGAACAAACTTACATTAATATTATCACCCCAACTAATGTATTTGATTACAATTCTGCACTTCCACTGGGAAGCATTGTGTATGATGTAATGACTGAGAGACTTCCCAAAAGAAAAAGTAAGAACCTCTAAATAGGGAATAGATAAATGAAGTGTTCTTGTAGATTTCACCGGAGTGTTGGCTCAGTCAGTAGAGCATCCGCCTCACAACCGGGAGGTCGTGGGTTCGAACCCCGGCCGCGTCATACCAAAAGACGTTAAAAGATGGGAGTTGTTGCTACCTTGTTTGGCGTTCAACAATAAGGGATAGATCAACGTCGATCTGGCGCTGCTCAGTGGCTGCCGGGCTCACAATCAATTGGGCAAAAAGAATTTCCGTTTCGGTTTAATAAAATTTGGAGTGGACTATTAGATTATTATTATCATTATTATTATTATTTAAATCACTTTATCAGGATTAAATCTTATATGTGTTCTAGAACTAGGAAGCTATATTTTCTCTAAATATGAATATCCTTGCATCTTGAACTCTGAGTCAAGCTCTAGTCAGACTAGATTCTCATAATCCTATCTGCCAAATGGTGATTTTACCTTTTATGGTCAAAATGGCACAACTGATTCAGTGAAGGCCTTCATGATGATTCACCAGGCTTCTACTAAACCACATAGTCATAGATGCTTGTGTGCTTTAGGTTGCAAGAAATATATCTATGACGTTTGATACTCATTTGTTAGCCCGCTGCTTTCGGCATGGAGGCTTTTAAAGCTACTTTCAACAATTGTTACAGAAGCTAAAAAGTATCATTTGGTATTAAAGTCTATGTATCCAAACCTTACTTTAAAATCTTAAATATGTATATAGTTAAAGGCCATGTACATCAAGCAACAATGACAAGAATAATTATAAAATATCATTACACTTACTTTTTGGCTTAATCTAAATCAGAAAAATGTGTTTTCTTGAAATCACGGTCATACAGAAAAAGTAAATTAATAGTTTATATCATGAAAAGGTTAAAATCAAATTTCAAATCTCATTAATGTAGGAAAAACTTTTCAGCAGCTGTTAAGTGTGAGTGCAAATCTGGGAACTTGCCAACATCAAATATTAGCAAGAATCAGAAAAAAATTCACATGCTCATGAGTTTATCTGAGTTTTTAATGTTGAAGCACATGCTTACATACATTACCCATTATAATATAAAAATCTTTGTCTTATATGTGTATCTGACAACCATTCAAATCTATATTTGTGGACAGAAATGACTAAGGCTTCCTCTAAAGACACTATGACCATACCATGGGGAATAATCCTGGAAATTAATTGTGTCACTCCCGCAACTCTCCGGGACCTTACCCACCTATGTTTGTCCGTTATGGAGGAAGGGTGACTATGCAGAGAGCCCTTGGTTGGAATCTCTATTGTTAATTGGATTAGTAATAGCCACAGGTTACAAGTTGATAGATTTGGATACCTACCATTCAGGTGAAGGAAAGAATGTATGCATCTATGGATCATGTTTTTATGACCTTTCCATATGGGATATGATATATTATTTACATGTTGTTGCCGTTATAAATCAATTCACTTTTTTTTTGTGCTAAAACAAATAAAGAAGAATTATACAAATCTTTGATTATTTAGCAACCACAATATAATTTGAAGTGGGAATCGTAAAACATCACTAATATCAAATTGCTTTGTTCTCAGCAACAAAGCCTGGCATATTAAAGAGGATATATGAGAAAAAATTCAACAATCTTTATTGCATTGTAGTCAATATTCTGAATATTGCTTTCTATTGATTTTACTGTAATATAAATTACTGTTGTTCAGATTTTCAGACTGTTGGTTAATTTAATAAAAGAATAAATTATACAGATGATTAGATCAAAACTTGCTATTCATTCGCCATGACTTTTCTTATTTGTTTTTTTAGTAATCTCATAACTATGAAAGTTAGAATGTATTTCAGGATAATTTCATTTCTAGATATACCATTTTTTTAAACCGTTGATAATCATCAACATTTTATCTTTATCATCTCAACTTTTATACTATGCTCGTTCACATATATCAATAACATCATCAACATCAATGACAAATTTGAGAATCATCATCCTTCTTCATATCCTGACTAATAAGAGGATCTAGGAGTAGAGGATCTAGAAGTACATGTAGAATAAGAAAGTCATGCTAGAAGTAGAGAAAGTAATATAACTATCATAGTCATATTTAAAAATATTCCCTTTAGAGACAGAATCATATCATATTTACTCAACAGCAAAAAAAATTTTCCTGCCAGACACATATCAACATACAAGTATGAGAATAGTTACTGATTTAGTTTAGTTGAGCACCATAAAAATGTTATCTCATATTATTTCACTGAGCTATAATACTTGGATATCGGAAGATGATTGATCTGTTTGAGCCCTGCCGGTATGCCTAAACACATCAGTCACATGACTTCGATGAATAGCAGCAAAAAAAGCAGAACCTATAACATTGAAAATAAATTAGTGCTAATTAATGGTCATTATAAATACAATAGCTTGTCTAGACAATGCACTAATAGTGGTTAAAGAGGAAGTATGCAATAGAAAAAGAATCTACATGTCCCTTGAAAAACGAAACCATGCACACTCCTACTGTACATCAATGGTCCATAGGCAGAGCTCCACAGTAACCTTTTGGAAGAGGGACTAGATTTGACTTTTAACAGTCAATGTGCATGGGCCCTATGC